AATTCCCTTGTTGCTGAAGCGAAAGCGAAAAAAATAATCTGGCGCCCACAAAGAAAAGAGTGGGATAAACAAGTTCAGCGCATTGGATTGGCTGGTTAAGCAGCGAGTTAGGAGAAACCACAGGTTACTGGATTCGAAGTAGTCAGTAGTTGGCGGTAAAACACGATGCAATTGGCGAAAATTGCTGAATTGGCGAAAAAAATTCTAAAATTTCGACAAAAAATCACTAAAAAAAACACTTGAAAAAGGAAAAAAATCGTAAAAAATGGATTACGATTGTAAAATCATTAAGACAAACGCATTTTCATAAAAATTACGAAAAATTCGTAAAAGTTGGCAGGTATGTGTTACTAAAAATGGCAAAAAATTTCATTAGCCCTCAAGCTCATCATCCCGCAATTTCCACGGGCAACTGAAATGTACCAAAATTTGCTCATTGCGCAGGAATATGTTCTTCCTTTATTACGAAGCTCATCCCGTTTCTCCCCCCCCCCCGTATAACCATTGAAATAAATTATATACAGTATTAGGCATTTAGTTTACGCTTTGACTAACAGATATCGTCAGTTGGCCACTAAATTGGGGCTTTTGAATGCACGTGGTATTAGTGCTCAAACTTCACTTTTTGCTGCTTTTTTCTTACAGAAATGGCTGCTAGAAAATGTTCAGTGATTATCTTGATTATATTTAATTGAATTACTAATTAGATTTATTGATTGGATTAATAATTAGACTGATTTTTAATTAGATTTATTGAATTTGGTGCAAAGACTGTGAAGTTGGACTTTGCCTTGAACCTTTTGAACTCTATCATACTAAACTGCATTTCTAAGGTATTTTTCCCTCAGCGCTTTATATTTTCTTAAATTTTATACACTTTACTTTTTTATATTATGCAATAAATAGAAATTAACTGTAATTTGAGAGAAATTTATTTAAAAGGAGATTTTGTTTGGTGATAAGATCTGAAATTTGTTTTTCTGGCAACTTAATTTCTCATGATATAAAAATCTATACAAAAAATATTTTCTAGAAAGAAAAAGTGCATTTTTCAATTCTCCAATATATATAGATTTAAAATATGGAGGGGAAACAATTTTGGAAGCAATTTCGGTCCATAAATCGAAGAGGTTAAGGACTGGAATGCTTTACATTATTTGAATCAGCACACTCCAGCCAGAAATTGGCCTATGCATTACACATGACAAAAATAAGAAAAAAGGTCCTTCTGTAGGTAAGCTATTCAACAGCTCAGCATAGAATATAAACTGAAACTATTCAATAAATTTGTTTAGCTATTAACTGACCATTTCATTATATGTTGCATTTTAATCAGAATTTTCAAAACAATAATTCAAAACAAGATGTTATGGTTCACTATTGTCTTTTATGAGTAGTGGAGATAATAAATAAGGATTCTTCTTACACTTACAATTGACAGGTGGAAATTCCTCAAGTACCTACATTCCTTTCAATGAAAATTAATTAAATACATGCATATTTTAACCTTCTTTTTAATCAATTAAAAAAAATTTACATCGACTCGCCAATTGTTTCTACACATTATACAGGAAATATAGATTCCCATTTAAAGAGAGACAACATTCACAGTTAACAGGGTTCATAGCCACATTTTAGTTAAAAAAAATAAGCACCTGTCTAATTACATTATACACAATTGCATAACCTTAATTAGACTTGTAATTTAAAATATGAGAAATGCAGTATTTATTAAGAGAGAATAAGCATTACCTCAATCATGGAAAATAATTACTTTTTTTTTTTTTTTTTTTTAAATTTTAAATAACAGTTCAATTTACAGAACTAGTTTACAATGACAGGAAAAAAAAAAAAAAAACTATGCAGAAGTAAACTATATTACAAAATTTAATGATGAAATTTCAGTTCAAAATAGAGAAAAATAAATAATAATAAGGTATTCGCTTGGAACCTAATAATAAATACAATTTATTTTTCCACTCATATTGATATTTAAATAATTTAAATATAAATTCTGAACATTTTCTAAATTTTCATTGTACAGTCAAAAGTCGTTAATCCGGACTCGTCGGGACTTCGGCGATTCCGGATTATCGATTTTTCCGGATTATAGATCATCAGTTTAAATCTGGTAAAATGGCATGCAGAAATTATAAAATTAAAAATATAAAACCGTAATTTACGAAATAAAGAACAATTATGATCTAAAGGGTATCAAAATTTACAAAAAAAAAAAAAAAGCTTAATATTTATTAAACATTTCTTTCAATGTAAGTTGTTTAAGTTGCTTCGTTTTTTTATGTTATAATACATTCTCTTTAATTCTATAAACAGACATAATTTCTTGTTCAGTTACAAAGTTCCGATGTTCAAGTCCTATAATTGCTGTGTCGAGAATACCGACTAATTTGTCAATCGAAATTTTTTCATTTTCAATAACCTCTGTTACTGGAAGCGAATTATAATGACGAGGCATTTGATTTAAATCATATCAAAGACCAGATGAAATACTACATTGAGTAAGCAATTATAAGCCAAATAAAATAAAAACATCTGCCCTTAAGATAAGGATAGTGCTGAGAGGTCAACTTCCAATTCAATGCACGCTGCGGTGGCATTAAAGATAAACAAAGTTTAGATAAACAAACGTTAAAGTTTAGATAAACAAAGGATATGGCCTTTACCCATTTTTTGCAGCAATTCCACTTTTTGTTTAATGGACTCCGAAAGATACTTTCGCTTTGTATATCCTTTACATACTAGTAAATATATATCGGAAATTCTATTTGACATAATCGAAAATTCAAGCTTACTTTTATAAAATTGCTCTAACAGTCAGCAAAAAATAATAATCCGGATCCAATTCGAAGATTAAGGAACAACACAATCTGCAACATTAACTGAAATAGATAATTAGGTAATTTTAGCTTAGCTTATCCCGTCCGTTATACATTAAACGCGCATTCGTGAAAGTATTTTGCTCACATGCACACGCAAATTCGCAGCGATAAAGGTCTTACGTATGCGTCAACGAAACGCATTTGTAGCTTTGAAAGGTTTGTAGTTATTGATCAGGTCTGGATTATTATGGGTGTCCGAATTAACGACTTTTCACTGTATATCAGTTTTCCCTTAACAGGTATTGCAAGCAAAGTAATTTAAGTAAAAAAGAGGAACATTTCTGAAATCAGAAGACAAAAATTTGCTTCATGCAGTCATCCTTTAACAGTAAAAGCTTAACTAACCTGCATACTTAGAAATTGGCGAATATTCGGACAGTCGAGCATAACTTGAAAAAGAGGAGAGGGTAGACTGAAGCCGCTCTTTAGATTTGTCCGCTAAATAAATGCTTTTGACATTTCGATATGTGCATCACACAAAAATAAACCAATGGAACTGAAAAATATTCTGCTTAGCAAACACAGTAAAATACTTTTAAGTGTTCATAAACAAATCTCGGACAGAACATCAAAATTATTTATCTCTGCAAAATATCGCAAACGTTATTGCGCAATACGTGTGCCGTAATTCTTCCCTACGTGATGTTACACAATCGGAATCAGCAGCTGCCGGTATTCGGAGAATAATAGAAAAAGAACTAAACTTACTAATCTGGGGTGTTTTTCAATTCTAATTTTCAACAGAGTGCGTTAAATTTCCGGAAATAGAATCATTCTTCGCTTGGGTTAAGTAGACCGCAGAAACTTTTAGTCCTATTCAATCCAGATTGGATAGTGACAAAAAAAAAAAGTCCGTTTCTTGTTTTGCAACGAACTGTAACAGTTCCAATATTCAAGATTTTCTGAAGAAAAGGGAGAACCTCCCAATCTTCGTACTGTATAATGTATTGGTCAAAAAAATGAAATTATTTTGACTATTCGATTACTTTCCCTTTATTTAAGGCATTCCGAATATTATTCCTTAGAAAGCTAAATCTGTGTTAAAACACAACCATTTTTGGAAGTTTACTATACTTCAGCAGTTACTGCAACTATGTTATTATAAACATTCATACATATGCTCATAATATAAGCATAATGATCATAATAAACACGAATATGAACTGACCAAGCAGAACGAGAACGCAAATGATTAAGATCTTGATAGAAATTTAAACGTGTGTAGTATTTGGGTGGGAGGAAAAGAATGCCGAATGTACCGGAATTTTCTACTGCTTTCGCAATTCTTTGATCGATAGAACGACGGGCACCTGTCTGTTTCGGCTGAGTTCGGCAAAAGTTGTTTTAGTTTCGGCTTTGGTACGGGGAAAAATAGCACGTTCATTAAAAAAAAAAAAAAAAAAAGGACTAAAAGCAAAAAAATAAGGGCTTTAAAGAAAAAGTAAGCACCTATAAGGGCCTTTATATTTTATTTTCAAATATAAGGACTTATAAGCACTTATAAGGACCGCTACGAACCCTGGTTAAACAAACAGCAGTTATGCAGGAAAACGGAATAATGCATATAATAATTAACATAAATATATGATTAATAATTTACTTGTGTTTCTTAAGTAGCTAAATTTGGATTAGTTTTACTTTCATATGTAAATTCAAAACAAGAACACACTTCAAAACAGAAAGAACAAGGTTTTTTTTTTATTACTTATATTATTGTATTCCAATAGGAATCAACGGGGAAATAAAAGATTAATTGCTGCACAAGTAATTTATTTTTAATGGATAACTTTACTATATATTACATGTACGTTTAAATTCCATATTATTGTGAATTTTGCTATTCTACATGTTTATTTATTTTATTTATTTTATTTTTTTTTTATTTCCGATAGAAATTCTGCTTTACTTTAATAGTTTGAGAAAGTAACTTTTCAATTATTCCACAATAAACAAACTTAATCTTCTTTTAGACAAAGACCAGTTAATCAAGACTAGATTGTATTGCATGTCACTGCACAGATTTTTTAAAAGAAGTTTATAAGCAATAAAAAATAAATGAATACATTTCAATTCTTGGTAATTATTAAAGAAACAGTATACCTTTTGAAAGCTGTTTAGAGCTGCATTTGGATCATCTTCTTTCAAAGATTTGGAGTTATAGTATTGATTTTCTAAATCAACATCAGGCTCTGAATTACTGTCTTCAGAATACTCCTGCATAGGAAAAAAAAAAAAAAAGAGAGAGAGAGAGAGATTTAACTGAAAGGCTGCAATATAGTTACATTTGTACACAAAATCTTTCACTTTCAGAGCAATTCAATTCAGAAATTTTTGATTAATGGTATCAAGATAAAACATACAGAAGAAATGCAATGCACAATATAGGAGAAAAAATTGCAGCAATACCTGTACACAATCATATTAGCATATTAGCAACACACTTCAGCAGAGTATGCATGCAAAGGCCTTCCTTTAATACACATATCAGAAATGGAGTGAAAATTTCTTATCCCAAAAATTTCAAGCAGTAAAAACAGTTAAAACAGAATGGAAATATGAGAGTATATATAGCATGTGTATGTTTAACATAAGATATAAAATATGAAATTAAAAATTATAAATCAGAAAAAGACCTGTAATTCTCCAATTTAATTTATATATCTTCCTTTTCTGTTCTAAAAGTAGAAATTGTTTATATTAAATTTTTCTGGACAGTGTCTTTCAAAATTAATGTGTTTCATGCTTGCTTATGCAATCCTGCAATGTGACAGCTCTTATCCAATCAGATCAAAGAAATCTTTGACTATAAATCTTGCACTTTACTGATTGCTTACTCCTTTTCCACTTCACTTGCCATTGCTGCTATCAAATATTGACTATAAATCTTGCACTTTACTGATGCTTACTCCTTTTCCACTTCGCTTGCCACTGCTGCTAACAAGGATGATTTGCCGCTCTGCTTTGTCCATTGTTCTAAAGATATGTAAACTATACAAAATTTATGCAGATGCATACTGCATCCATAATGAAAGTGATTAAGAGTACGTATCTCAAGAATGTCTTGGAATAAATTATGTTTTCAGTCACATTTGTCTGGAATGTCATCTTATGTAGCTATTTCCTAATCATCAAATTATTTACAGAATTTTTTACATATATATAGGTAATACGGAATATAAAAAATATGAAGGAAAATTATTAACAAATTAAATTTAATTGGAAAAAATTTCTAATTTAATTGGTAACAGCCCTTGAATTCCTAATTAAGTACATGCCCTCTGCAAGAACACATATTGCACCATTTTGCATCATTTCTGTGTATTTGGGTTTGAACACATTTCTGCACATTAAAAGTACTTTTAAGGACCATTAATAAAAAAAATTAAGGAATTATTATATCAGCAAGGGGAAATGAATAAACCAAAGCAATTGTCTATATCCAAACTTTACTTTTGCAATACCATTTTAAGAATAAATAAAATCTGTAAGTTGGATGCATTATAACTATACATAATATAATACTTAATGCAGGGTTTAATTTCTAAAATTAGAAGTGCCGGAGCCCTATGGAAGACCGTCAGCAAAGAGAAACAAGAGTAAATAAATAAATAAAATGACTATTTAACTTATTAATAATTTAAAAATGAAATAGTTAATTATTATCAAATTAATTAATAGCTATTAAATTAATGTTTATTAAGTGTTATTTAATCAATAATTATTATATAGTTAATTAATTATAATTTAATTGTTAATTATTAAATCATTAATTATTATTTATTGAAATAATTAAATAATTAAAGATTAAAGAAACTAAATATAAAGAGATAAATTAAAATAAGTGAATTTTAATATAATTTTATTGCTAAAAATAAAATATTCGAGATAAAATTTCTACTGAAATTGTTATTCAATTACATAAAAGAAGTGCCGCAGCCTTCTTATTTAGGGCTCCGGGGCATTCCGGCTAGAATTATGATTTATTACAAAAACTAAGAAGTACCAGGCTCCGGCCTAATTTAAGCTCTGATCGTAAGAGGGGGAAGTTCTTTTTTGTCATCCAAAAAATTAAATACACTTAAAGAATAGCTGATGAAAATTCAGATAATCTAAAAACAGGTGGGAAACAGAATGAAGGCGTACGGGTATGAGTGGGTGGAAACAAAAAATGAGAAAATCTTGGTGAGAGAGAATGTTCTCTTTGACCGCGGCTCTCTGCTGATATAATTATAATCATCAAGCGGATGTGTGTCAGGGGTAAAATGAGTCCTGAATCTGACTCTTAAGGATGAATCTAAAGTTGCTGGTTATGCTTTTCGCCCCCCCTTCTGTATTTGGTTACATTAGTAGATACTATGGGAAGACGATGTATAGGACGTGCTTGAGCAGTTTACCTCAGTATTTCACTCTTATTGTACTTTGCTGTCACTTAACGCAAATTTAAAAACACAAATTTTCCTTTCTGCGAGGATAACTAACTGTAACCATTGATAACAATACGCTAGATACGATGGCATGGCGAGAAATTTACGCTTTCCTAAACAAACTCCCCCAAATTTATTGCACTTCGTAAGGTTTCCCATGTGAGTGAGGGGGCTTTACTTGAACGTCTGATGTTCTCATGAGTTCGTATTTCTAGGGAAATAGAGTATTGCAAGGTCTGTTTATTGTTAAACTAAAACGTTACGAATTCTAATTTTTTCCCTTGAAATTGTGGTTTTGTTTTATAAAAAGAAGTACTGGAGCTCATCTTATTTAGGGCTCCGGTGAGCTCCAGCTAGAATTGTCATTTATCTTAAAAATTGAGAAGTACCGGAGTCGGGCTCCGGTGGGCTCTGGCGCTATTTAAGCACTGACTTAATGTAACTATAAAATAAATTCAAGAATAAAATCAACTTAGCAAAATTTATCAGGTACAGCATTAAATTACAAAATTCCTCCAAAATTTACATTTATAATATATTTTACAGAGGATTAGTAACATTTAAACTTTACTAACAATTAGTTTTGTTTTGATTTTTTCCTTTTATGCCTCATTTTGTCATGTATACACTCAGTCCAGAAGATTTATGCAAATTTTATGTCGAGCAGCATAAGTTAAAATGAGAAGTAAAATGGTAACCAGCATGATTCATCAGAAGTTTTGGCTGTTGCCACTGCTGCTGCTTGCTAAGAGAAAGAGAGACATTGCAGAACAGATATGAACTCTTGACAATGACAAGATTAGTAAGTGCTGAAAGTTAGTTGCATATTGACCCAGTTAGTGTCTCTTAGAGTTGTTAGAGTTATTATCAAGTTAATATACAGTATTTAATATAAAGTTCCAACATGCCGTTAAAGTACCAGAGATGGTAAGTTTTATGGTATGGTAGGACACTGTATGCTCTTCTGATTTAATAGTATAGACATCCCATCAAAATATTAACTGAATGAAATCAGCCAAATAATGATGGTTTATCAGGAATTCTCACACACCATAAAAATTATATTTATTAGAAGAAATTGTGTAAGTAATACTTCATGACCGTGTTATAGGAATGCAATTTAAAAACAAAATATAAGGATAGGAAAACTTTTAAAATTTAGGATAGACAATAGCAGCAGAACTTAGGACAGACAGAGATGGCACCAGGTGGCGAAATGCCTAGTGCAATGCAGTGAGGCAAATAAAATTAATCTTTTAAATTTTCAGTTTTCAATTTCCTTACCAATAGAAAAATTCCTGTCTACACATGCTTGTCTATATGACAATATAAGAACTAGTTTTGCAATTTTCCATGCTTGTGTATAGTGAAATGATGAGAAAATTAAGGAAAGACAAACATGAAAGAGAAAGATTCCAGGATCAAAAACAAAAGATTCAAATAACTTTGTTTTTACTATTCCTTGAAAAATTTTCCATAAAATAAGAAATTTACTACAAATTTCCTATAATACATTCATTACATGTTAATACTATGAAAACATCTTCCATTTGGTCATATTTTTCTAGAATCACCTTCAAATCCTTCCAAAGTGGCTAGGTTTAAAAATTACCCAGGCCAAGAGCAAAAATCCAAAAGATTTTTCAAATAAAAAATTTAGAAAAGAAAAATGCAAAGTGGTTTTTTTTTTTTTTTTTTTTTTTTTTTTTTTTTCTACAACACTGACACAATAGAAATATTTTGAAACAACTACACAGGAAAAGAACTATAATGTAAAAATATAAAAAAATGAAATTAATTTTAAAATAACTAGTAGTTCTTTTGCTTTTGCTAAGAAGTCATTTGGAAACTGTTTCAAAGCATTTATTTATCTTATTTATTTTTCACAGTCAAAATATTCCTAACTTGCCAAAATGGAAAGTAATGTCACTATGTAACCTCACGGCTCAATGAGCGCAAAACTAGCGGTCGCTGGACGAAACACTGGCCAAAAAAAAGCTGTCAGACGATGTACGGGAGTCACGAACTTAAGCATGCTGTTTCCCCGAGATTTACTTTGTAACTTAAATGTATAATTAATGTCCTTAATTGTAATGTTTTATCTTAATTGTGTTTTGCTAATTAAAGCTAATTAAAAAGGCAAAGTGAGTCTGTTGTTTATGTTAGTTTTGGTTATAACTAAAATATGACATGGGAAAATAAAAATGTTTTAATTTTATGCTATTTTATAACTACAGTTTTCATATATTATCATTGCTTTAATTATGTTTAAAAAAATTTTTGAAAATTTTGCAAATATGCAGATAAAAAAATTATATACACAAATTGATTTTGAAATCACCAAAATGTTGATAAAACACCAAATTTAACAGCACATAATAAATGAACTCCTATCTTGAAAAGGGAAGAAAAG